ATATATATATATATATATATATATATATATATATATATATATATATATATATATATATATATATATATATATATGGCTATTCTAGACCATTTTCAAAAAAAAAACAACACAGATTTTCTGTTAAAGTTTGCCGAAACAAGGGGGGTACCGTCACCCAAATTTTTTTCCTAGAATAGGCCCTGATATATATATATATATATATATATATATATATATATATATATATATATATACACCCATATAGTGTAGCTTTAAGAGCATTTTAATGTAAAAAAAGTCTCTTACGACTACTATTTTAATTACCTCGTCTCTTAAGCTGTTTTTGATTGTCATCGAAATGTCAAAGCAATTAATTTATGCGGAAGTACATTAAATTTAATTGTTTTTTAAAAAATTTTTAAAAAACCGCAATTATAACGACTAGAAAGTTTTTTTTAATTAGTGGTGTTTTTGTTATTGATTTAATAAAAAACATTTTTTAAACATGCGTAAATGTTGCTACATCGACTATCTTATAGCCTGACTCGCAACGGAGTGCTGCTACATCGACTGACAAATAGCCTGACTCGCAACGGAGTGCTGCTACATCGACTGACAAATAGCCTGACTCGCAAGGGAATGCTGCTACATCGACTGACAAATAGCCTGACTCGCAAGAGAGTGCTGCTACAACGACTGACAAATAGCCTGACTCGCAAGAGAGTGCTGCTACATCGACTGAGGGTTTGGTTTGGCCAGGCAGTCTATCAATTAAAAAAAAAAATTTCATTTTTAAAACTTTTTCTGGTCTGGTTTATTAACGCGCTCTTTAAAACTACAGTTTATGGGAAACATTTTTTGATGCCACGCAAGAGACATGCAAGAGTATATATATATATATATATATATATATATATATATATATATATATATATATATATATATATATATATATATATATATATATATATATATTAGGGTGTGTCAATTTTAGACTTTTTTTGAAAAAAAAGTTTAATAAAATTTGCGAAATTTTAGGAAGAATCTAAATCTGTTAAAATTTTTTAAATCAGAAAAATATTTACTTAGGTGATTAGCCTTTTATGAAAGTATTAACGGTTTTTATTTCCTTTTAAACGGAATAACGACGTTACCGGACAATACTGTACGTAAAAAAAAACAGACTTTTAAACAACAAAACAAATTTACATTAAGTTTATAAAAAAATCATTTAACTTAATATGTATAAAGTATTTGAAAAATTTTTGTATTAAATGCGTAAAATAACTTTTTAATTAAAAAAAAAATTTACTCAAACGTAATTTTTTAATCTTAATAATGGTCAGTAAATTAATTTTTCATTGCCGCATTCAGTAAACAATTGCGAACTGCATATTGTTAAATATAAATTTAAGAACTTTTTGATCAATTGTTTTCATTCTTAAAATATTAAAAAAAAAATTTTTATTCATTACTAAACAATGATAAATTCTCTTTAAATATTTTATAACTTGAGGGATAATGGCAACCAAAACCAGAATGAGTACTTGTATGCAAATTAGTGTTGCATTTGGTACAGAAAAACAATTTATAGTTTCAGAATTACCAACCAACAGAGATGTTATAAGATATGCAATTTTATTAAGAGAGGGCTGCGAAGACATAAAAAATTTATTACACCAGTGGTTGAGTGCAAATTTGGAATTTACATCGCCTAAATTAATTACTGACAAAACAATTTGTGATAAAATAGTGACTTTGTGGAACAACGCTTCAGCAATAGCTTGTCCAAGAAAAAAAGGAGCTAAACAAATAATAAAATTTAAAGAAAAACTTGATAAACTTTTTGATATACTAGTATGCAAATGTCTAATTGTAAAATGTGATGATTTTATTTCTTCTGATGATTGTGATAAAGAAGTTTATTGTAAATGCAAATGTATCAAAGAGTACAAAATACCATCTATTGACGTTAAGTTTCTATATTTTCAAAGAATTAAAACTGGAACTGTTAGCAAGTTTCAAATTGGATTACCTGATAGTATTGAAACCAGGAAACAGTTCAAAAGATCGAGAAAAATATTTTGAGAATAAAGACAGCAATGTTGTTTTAACTAAAAAACAAAAAATTGAGTCAGATCAGATAAACTTTCAAAAAGAAAGTGATTTTAGTAAAGAAATAGAATTAAATGATAACATTGATGATATTACTAATGTAGAATTACCTCTAGTACTGAAAAAATCATAAGGAAAAAAAATACAATACCTTAGATATTTCACACATAGCTATGAATAGCGTAAGGTATAGTTCTTTTTAAATAAATTTGTTTTTTAGTAATGTATTTATCTTTATAAATGTGTATATATATATATATATATATATATATATATATATATATATATATATATATATATATATATATATATATATATATATATATATATATATATATGATTAATAACATCTGATGATAAAAAGTTAATTATTGACCATAGTAAAGTTTCGAGAGCGCAAGAAAAAGTTATCTCTGATCTTAGTAAGGATTTTGACAAAATAGCAAAAAGTGGAAAATTGAAATGCATATTTTTTGATGGGAGAATTGATCAAACCAAATTGATCAACCAAATGATTGAACTTGATGACTCAAATGCAAAATTTCCAGTAACAGTGAAAGAAGAACATTACTCTGTTTGTATAAAACCTGGAGAAAAATATTTGTTTCACTTTACTCCTGAGAAAGCAACAAAAAGTGTTAAACATGCAGAGATTATAGCAAATAAAACTGTTGAATGGCTGGCTGAGAGAGGTATTGACAAGTCTTTACTGGCTGTTGGTGGAGACTCTACAAATGTAAACAACAGTTGGGAGGGTGGAGTCATCAAACATATAGAAATAAAATTAGGAAAAAAACTTGTTTGGCTTATATGTCAACTCCATACAAATGAGTTGCCACTGAGACATCTTATAACCAATTTAGATGGTCAAACAAAATCAAACAATAAATGGTCTGATGTTATTGATTCCATGCTTGATCATGCTACAGATCTAGATATAAATCCAGTATTTGAAACTATTAAAATTGGCAATCCACTTATTTCTCTCGATGATAAAATAATAAATGACCTACCTGCAGATCAATTTTATGGTTATAAAGTTTTTTGTGCCATTAGAAGTGGTATTTTACCACCAAAATTTCATTTATTACAAATTGGGCCTGTTTCACATTCAAGATGGTTAACTACTGCTAACAGAACATGTAGAATATGGATCTCTAAACATGGAATTCAAGGTAAAGATTTAGAAAATTTAAGATCTATCACCGAGTACATTGTAGGTGTTTATTTTTCTTGTTGGTTTAAGATTAAAGTTGAACATTCTTGGATTGAAGGTCCTAAACATGTACTTTACCAACTGCAGCAACTTAAATTTCAAAAAGAAGATGTCATTAAAATATTATCACCCTCTATTTAAAGATCAGCTTGGTTTTGCTTCAGTGAGTGTGTATACACTGTAGTATACAAACATTGTTGTGTTCTAATACTGAAGAGGATAGAAGTATAGCTATTAATAAGATAAAAGATATTAGAGGTACTGGAAATGAAGATCTACAAAAAGGTGATTCCTCTCCTAGACCAAGAAAAACGCCTGTTCTGAACTTTAATGCTGAAAAATTGGTAGACCTAATATCATGGGAGTCACCGGTTTATGAACCAGTCTTAACTACCTCTCTAACAACTTCTGAAGTTAATGTGTTTTTATCAAATCCTATGCAGGTGCCAATTTGGCCAAGTCATGGACAATCTGTTGAACGTTGCGTAAAGCAAGTTACAGAAGCTTCAAGTAGAGTGTACACTCATGAAAAAAGAGAAGGATTTGTCCGAACTCAAGAGGCAAGTAGAAAGTTAATGCCTAAAAATAATAGTAAACAAGACCTTGAAAGTTTGACACATGTTTTTGTATCAAATTTATAATATTTATTAAAATAATAACTTTTTTTTTTAATATCTTGCTGTATTTTTAGCATCAATACTAATAAAATTATTACGCGATGTTAAGGCAAACTGTATTTAAAATACATTGAAAAATATTTTAATATATATAAATTAATCTCAATCTAATTTCAGTTTTAAATTATTATGCATATTAAAAATTAATTTCAAAGTCTAATTTTGAAATAAGAAATATTTCATTTATATTTTATAAAAATTCTTAAAGAAAGTATTATAATATCTAAAATTAGTTTTAATCAACATTTATATTTCAACTGATATTTATCAAACAAAGTAGAAAAAAAGCTAATTAATTTCCAAGTAAAAACCGTGTTTTTTTGAGAAACCAGGTCAAAATTTTATTGAAATATAAAAAGTTAAATAAAAAATTTTTTAATTCAATTTTTAAAAACATATTTAGAATCTCCATCAAATTTTGCAACTTTTAGTAACTCCCCAATTTTTTTCTCGAAAAAAATGAAAAATCTACACACCCTAATATATATATATTAAAAAAGGGAAAAAAACAAAAACGTAAGAGTTATGAAAATGCATGCTGAACTCCAAATTTATTTTTTTAAGCAAAAAAGATATTAAAAAAAATCATTTAATCATACCATAGCATGGTTTTAAAGTTGAAAGGGTCCTATAAATGTGTTTTGACACTTACAATCCTGTTGTGTAGTGTTAAAAATCATACCGTATATCCATAATTATGGATATACAGTATGATTTTTAACACTACAAATTTGATAACATTGATAATGTTATATTGCATTTTTTTAACATAATATACATGGTTGTTAACAATTATTTATATTTTTTTTAAAAAACGGCTGTAGTGGTTGTGGGAGTCAATAGAAAATTTTATGATTAGATTCATATCTGTTTTAGAAAGTATGAGGCGCTTGGTGCACCCTAATATATAATAACCAAAATATACAGCTGCATCAGAATGATGCAAAGTTAAGCAGCCTAAAATATTAAAAAAAACTTGAATTAAATATGTAAATAATCTTGAAAAGAAAAACCTTTAGGTTAAGATAGTTTATTATTTCTTTAGGCGAAGAGTACATTTCACCAGATGTTGTAACCAGGCATGGTAATTCACGAGCTAAACAAAACAACCTATTAATTAAAGTATTAGTGATAAAAAATTATGAAAAAAAACCATTAGATTACAAACTTAGTAAAAAAAAAACATCAGAAAATAACCCAGCAATAGCCATAAAAAGTGCAAACGATTGTATTTTAGTATGACATTGTCAGTGATGTTTCATACCACAATTATAAAATTAATCTGATTTATATTGGGTTAGCTATTAACAACAGTGAAAGTATTTTATCTAGAAAAAATAAAAATTCTTATATATAAATTTATTTGATACCCGAATTTATTTATTTATACCCCAATTTATTTGTAAGTAAGGCTAGAAGGTGATTGTGAAACTTAAATGGTAATTTTTCTAGTCGTAATATTACAACTAAAATACTCAGTCCTGATATTTACAAAACAAGTTAAGACCAGGAGAATATGGTTATAAAAAACTGCTTTATCTTCACTATTATGTCAGATTTAAATAAGAAAATGGGATTATGGAAACCTGTCTGAACCACATAGGTATACAAGCATGGATGTTTAAAAAAAAATAATTCTAAATTAAAACTAAAAAATAAATGAAATTTTAAAATTCTTTTTAAAAAACACATGTTTTATAGGTGTATATAATACATAGATATAGGTGTATATAATATCTGGTGTAACGCAAAAAGAACTGAAGACAATAATTCAATATTTTAACTTAATATCTACATTAAAATAAAATTTATATTTAAAAACAGAATTTTCAAATTATCATATTATTATGTTCAGATTTGGCCAAACAGAACCCACTACCTGATATTTATATCAAAAAACTATATTAATACAAATTTTAATAACTATAATATTGTGAAGTATAGAGTTTTTTTAGTAGGAAACATTTAAATTCAAAAAACAACATACACAAACATAAAAGAACAAAGAATGTTTTAGTATTATTATATCCTAGCATTATTTTATGACGCCATCCTTTCACTATGTCTTTTCTCAGGTCTGCCAGAGAGGTTGGTCAAATTGGGCAAACTGCCCAGCCATAGGGCAGTAACATTTATTAATTTTTCTGCAGCCATGTCTTTACAATTTTTTACAATTCAAATAAATTTAAAAAGTTTATCACTTTTATTTGAACTTCATTCAACATTATATATTAGGGTAATGTGGAACATGCTGTGAAAACTACCTTTGAAAAAAAATTAGCCTGATTGGACCACTATTGTACCTCTTGAGACCCCTTTTAATAAAAAAAATGGTCCAAAAATGACAATATTCGAAAGGCTTGGGGGAGGTAATATTATCAAAATTTTAAACTGACTTTTTTTAAAGACAGGTATTGATGTATATTTTCAAATAAATAGGGTAGTTAAGACAGAATATACCTACTTATGCTGTTTTATTGTGTTAAATAGTGTTAAAAATCACAAAAAAAGAATTATTTTGCAGCAAATTATAAAAATGATGAATTACTTTGTTTTACACTTTTATTTTGTTTTTGATTGACTTTTTTCTTTTTTATTATTATTTTATTATATTTGTATGGCCATAGCAGTTTTACTTGTTTATATCATAATAAATAAAATAAAATACTGATTACCATATCGAACTTTTGTTGCATATATAGAGAGAATTTTATGTTTGAACTCATTGTTTTTCTTTATAATTTTATTTTTGAAAGTGCAATAGTATTTATTTTTTTTAAACATTTATGCAGGTTTTATGATTGTATGGTTTTATGATGAACTTATTATGATTTTAGACTTTATGATGAACATTAAAAAAAAAATAAAAACATAGATAAAGAAAAAGAGCTTAGGGCAAGATAAAATGTTTTTTTCTTTTTGGAGCTCTATCAGGTGATATAATTTTTAATACAGCTCTATCAGGTGATATAATTTTGATTGATGATTACTTATTGTAATATTAATTTTTTCTAGGAAAGATAATATTATAAACAATAATGTTATCATTTTCTTATATAAAGTGCTTAAATTATGCATACAGGGGTGCGCACGCAAAATAAAAATGCAAGAAAACTTGTTTTTGATCTATAGAAACGTGGTGTGAAAAAAGTTGAAATTTGCAAAGCCGTGAAGAGACAGCTTCATAATTCCAACGCCTACAGAATCTTAAAAGACTTAAAAACTGGAACAAATTACAAAAGAAAAAAAACAGGCCCAAATCATTATGTGAGAACTAAAGAACTTCGAAATTCAATCAACTGCAAAGTACGACGAAACCCAAACAGGTCAATTTCATCCTTAGATAGAGAAGCAGGTGTGTCTCGAAGGACTATGCAACGTGTTGTCCACAATGATCTGGGTATGAAGAGCCTTGTCAAGTCAAAAAGACAACTTCTAAGTGAGGCAACTAGAGCCAAAAGACGCATAAGATCAAAAGAGTTACTAAATTGGTTCAAAGACCACAAAGATGTCCCTATCGTTTACAGTGATGAAAAAATTTTCACAGTTGAACCAGAACCCAACAGATACAATGACAGAGTTTTTGGTAAGTCCAGAAGAATAGTTCCTTTGGAACTGAGGACTATTTCAAAGAGACAACACCCTGTGGGTGTCATGGTTTGGGCAGGTGTGTGCTCTGATGGGTCAAAAACTCCCCTTGTTTTTGTTCCTGAAGGTGTAAAAGTCAACCAGGTGACCTATGTCGACTTCATCAAAGCTAACCTCATTCCTTGGGTCAAAAAGAAGTTTGGGGACGATCCATGGGCCTTTATGCAGGATAGTGCACCAGCACACAGTGCAAAGAAAACTTTCAGCTTCTTGAAAGAAAATGTTCCGCACCTTTGGACCCCAGATATGTGGCCCCCTTCAAGCCCAGACATTAATCCTATGGATTTTGCTATATGGAATGTCATGGAGACCAAGAAGGCAGCCAAAACATATCCAAATTTGGCAGCCCTCCGAAACGAATTGAAGAAGATCTGGAAGAATCTTAATCCGGACATGGTGCGATGCTGTGAGTCAGTTCCAGAGCGTTTGAAGAGTGTCATTAATGCCAAAGGAGGCTACTTTGAAATTCATTAGTGTTTTTTAGTAAAAATATATGTGATTTGGTATTGTGAAAAGTTTTACTTTGAAAATAAAAGCCATTTTTGAGATATAAATATTTTTATTTTTCTGCGATAACCTGCGCACCCCTGTAAAAAGTATAATTTGAGTGCAGTATAAAGAGTATATAATCATATACTCTTTATTTTGCACTCAAATTATACTTTTTATGCATAATTTAAGGCACTTTATATAAGAAAATGATAACGTTATCGTTTATAATACTATCTTTCCTAGAAAAAATTAATATTATAATAAGTAACCAATTATTGAAGTATTAACATTATACACATCAATAAATACTTTTTTATATTATAAAACTTTTTTATTGTATTCAACTTCCAACTGGAATGAAAATACTAAAAATCTTTTACTATATAAAATCTACACTGGAAATAAATGCGAAAAAGTCATCATGCCTAATAAGATGAAAGAAAGTCAGTGCAAAAATGATAAATACAAAAGTATATAATCTTTGATTAAAGCTCCTTTGAAATGCTGGATTTCCAACAGTTTCTGACATAACCCTTAGAAAGCATCTAAGTAATCTAGAAAAAGAATACTACAATTTAAAAAAGCATGAAAAGAGAGGGTCAACTTCAGATTTAAAAAAACAAAATGACTTTGTACTAAAGATGAATAAAGTGTTCTGGATTGGTACACCAAATCATAGACATACCATAATGATTGACCAGAAAAGGATCAGTATAAAGGTGTGATGAATCTTCTCAAAGAATATGAAACCAAAGGAAACATCGAAGGACTATGCTTTGATACAACTAACATTAATACTGGAACTAAAAAGGGTTCCCTTTTTAGAATAGCAAACAATCTAGATATTTATCGATTATTTCTTGCTTGTAGACACCTCATATCAGAGCTAAAGATTGTTCACTTTTGTAATGTTGTGCCTCAAAGTAGAACATCCAAAGAATCTTTTATTTAAAAAACTCAAAGATATATTTGAAACTCCTGGTTTTCATTATGATACTGTTACAAGATTTCTTTGGGATAAGACAAAAGGAACTGTTATCGAATGTGCTGCAGTTGAGTCTCTAAATTTTTGCAAAGAATATGTTAAAAGTGAAAAAAATGTTAAGAGACCATAGAAAAGAACTAACTGAGCTAGTTGTTGCTTATTTGTCTTCTGAAGGTATAAAAATTAGGAAACCAGAAGCTGTCCACCATGCAAGGTTCCTCGGAAAAGCCATATATTATTTAAAATTGCAACTTCTTTCTAATCAAATTAAATTTGCTCATGAAGACAAACTACTTTTAGAAGAAATAAATATCATGGCGGAATTCATAGCACAATTTTATGCAAAATAGTATTTGCAATCTGATAAGGCTATCAAAGCACCATATCTAGATTTTTTATCAATACATAAAATGCATCTATAGAAAGAGCTTTGTGCCATACCAGACGCAGTTGAAGCAGTATTGAAATCATATTATAAACATTCCTGGTATCTAAATTCTACAATTGTACCTATTTCCTTGGTGGATAAAGACGTTTTTAATGAAGAAAAAAGATTGCCTCTGCTATGCTTTAATATGACATGCCAAATTTGGATTATTTTAAAACTGACAACAGAAGTGGAACACAAGATTTTGATTGAAAAGAGAGTTTACAATGATCCCCTATTTGATGTTTGATAGAATTGGGTTGGATAAACAAAGCAGACTGGTTTACCCTCTAACCTCAGTATTGGTGCACACAATCAAGTTTTAGAATCTTCAAAGATTTTGCTAAATCTCTAGTTGTTGTAAATGATCCTGTTGAAAAAGCAGTAGGGATGTTGCAACTGTTTGTTCACAGATATGATAAAGAAGAAGAAATTCAGAACAGACTGCTCACTGTTATTAAAGCTAGATTTGCTACAAAAAGTCATCAAATTTGTCTAAGAAAAGGTTAATCGACCAAGAGAGTAATCGACATAAAAATTATAG